ACCCCCTCCACTTCTATCCATCCTATGAACACTGCTACAACAGCCTGTGCAGTGTTCATTCTGCGCTGCCCCTACAGGGACCCATGACTGTGCATGTACCAGCATCTGTCCTGGCTTGTCTGTCCCAAAGTCAAGGGGACATATCATGAAAAATCCACTTTTTGTGCCTTAAATGCCTTATGTTGTGAAGTGGAGCTCTAGAAGTGAGTTGAAAATCAGTCTCTTCATGGGTTGCAGAGAACACTTCATATTCTGTTTAGGTAAGATTTTTCAACCCGTTCTGATTTTGCCATTCTCTATTACGTGTTTAGAATTATTACGTCACAGTATTTGCAGCGAGACTGCTATATAAGGGCATGGCCGTCTAACAAAACACTTCGGCCCAGCCCTCCTCTACTGTGCATCACTTTGAATTTGTAGTCCAAGCTCAAGGATGCCAGCGAACAGGCTGGACTGGCCACCGGGCGTACCGGGCAATGCCCAAGGGCCGATGCCCATATTTGGGCCGGTCTGTCTGCCTCATACAAAACAAAAGTGTAAATCCGTTGAGAATTGTTCGAGCGGGGGCGCGCGTATCCGCGGGCACCTGTTGTATGTACTCGAATGGGATTCCGCCACCTCAGCGGCCGCAGTGTTCTGGGGCATCTACGGCCGTTTGTAATGAGCAGCTTCCGCGTCCAGCGGCGGCGAGAGGCTGTGAGCGTCCAGCCGCTCGCAGCCGCTCCACCGTGTTGTGGCTGAGCGCGCAGCCTCAACGTGGCCATGTACCCAACCCCATAAACGCGCACAGACCATGCGTGTCTTTGAGTAATCTGTGTAACCCAATAAATACACTGCTGCAGGAAACAGTCCGCGTCTCCCCTCTCCTCTCGAAGCGCGATTAAACGCCCTAAATAAAGTTCTGATACCTACATTTTGCATTGCATTAAAAGTTCATGTTTGAGCCAAAAGTAATATGTTGTGAACAAATTAAACAAATTTAGAGCCAGCAAATGGCTGACAATATGCATTTCAGTCTTTTTGACCAATTCTCATCCCTGTAACAAACAATAGTGTTGTCTGTGTCCACCTCCCTCACTCTGAGACATGTTCATTACTCTCTTGTAATATAGACTATTGCATTTTATTTTATTGTTGAAACTGCACATATCCTGATCCTCTACAGTATTTGCTTCCACATACTGTATAAACTAGGAGTCGGCAACCTGCGGCTCCGGAGGCGCATGCGTCTTTTTCCTTCTGTAGAAGGAAAAACTTTCTTAAAGTTTTTAAATGCTGTAAAATTGTGCATAAGTAATATTCAATTTAAACATTTCTGTCAACGTAGTGCGTTTCTTATCCTGGCAACGGTAGGCCCGCGCCGGCCGGCGATCTGTTGTAAAACAAAACCGGCATGTGAGGCTCAGCTTGTGTACAAGTCTCTCCTTGGCCTGTCCAAATATATTAGTGACATGTTAGTACCATCCGAACCAGCCTGGACTCTGAGGAGCACAGGGACTGGACTCCTCTGGGACTCTGAGAGCACAGGGACTGGCCCTGTCCCTTTAGTGCCAGAGTCAGGACTAAACATGGGGAGGCTGCTTTTCAGATTCATGCTGCTAACATTCTGGAAAAGTCTACCTGAGATGTTGGAGACAGGCCTCCTCTCTGACAAAGTTTAAAAACCAGGTTAAAAAAACCGTTCTATCTGTTTAGGCTGTGTATGCAACGGAGCGGATTTATATTTTTATCTTTTCTTTTAATTAGACTGTGCGCATGGATCCCAAAGCTAAAAAGAGAAGAGTCGATAATAAGACTGGACTAAGAATGAAAATTAACATTTGCTTTCAGTCAATGAGGAAGGACTGCTTCATGTTTGCAATGTAATGAGAAGTTTCTATGAGATAATTGTATCTGTGCTTAGAAACTACAAAAATGGCCGCTCGGGGTGGAGTTGAACCTGTGTCACCTGGATGGGGGGGTGGTCAAAAGCGCCTCATTTGCATTTAAAGAGACAGCACCAAAACAGGTTGCTCTCAGACGCACCTCAGAACAGGTGTAGAAGAAAGGCCCGTGGAGCTACAAATAATGAGACTCAGACCCAGGCATTGCAGTTACGCTTTATATAGGCCACAAATTAATGATTTGTGGCCTTCAGCAGTGTATGCTGAACATCCAAGGGGAGGACATTGAGCTGCTGGACAGCTTCAAGTACCTGGGTGTTCACATTAACAATAAACTGGACTGGTCCCACAACACCAACGCCCTGTACAAGAAGGGCCAAAGTCGCCTCCACCTTCTGAGGAGGCTGTGGTTCTTCGGATTGAGCAGGTCTCTGCTCAGGACCTTTTATGACTCTGTGCTGGGCCCCGGGCAGCACAGAGTGGGACAGGAGTAGACTGAACAAGCTGGTCTGGAGGGCCAGCTATGCGGACACTGAACGTGAAGTCAATGGTGCTGACTTGCTGTGCTCTGCACAATCTGTGCGAAAACCACGGAGACCATGTGACACCTGTAGCAACAGCAGCCTGTGTAGCAGTGGTTTAGAGGAGGGTCTGATGCGTCATTTTGTCAAATGCCTAAACATTTATTTTGCCCTTGTTTTGACAAAAAATAAAACCTTTTTGTATTAAGCAAATGTCTCCATCCTTGTTCATAAATTTACCAAGGTTACATGGATTTACTGACAAATATAATGTATGCAATGTAAATAGAAGTAAAAGTATATGGTAGGAAATCGTAACTTTTGCTTTTGAACCCCTTTTCTGCATGTGCACAGACAAATGAATGAAACAAAGTCTAAATACGATCACAGATTTATTAAAAACAAAAGTAAAGTGCAAAACCAACAATTTACAAAGTCCAAAGTACGTATGTCTCTTGAGACCAGGTCCAGATGAGGGTAAAGTTAAGTACTCCGGTCACTCATTGCTCGTTGGTAATCACCTCACTTCTGGGAATGGATTCTCAAACAAATAAATATACACAAAACAACTTAAGTACAAGCACAAAACAGAATGGCAACACGTGAAATAGCAAAATACAGCACAGTGGAACAGGAAGGACGTTTTAGCTACATTACATTTCAGTGAGAGCTTTGGGCCAACGGATACGTAGCTAACCAGTTATTTCCAGGATTACCACAGACTGGTCACAAATCAAGAGCTCCCTGAAAACCTTCTTGTTCCGTGCGCCGTGTTTTTCAAAGGCAGCTCAACGGAACGGACCGACCAGGACGTTGACTTTTCGGGCTTTCTGTGCAATTCCATTTCTCTGGGATGAGGAGGACATATTAAAGCAGGGCAGCCAGTTTTAAAGATTGCGGGGTTGAGTTATTTTTACCATAGGGTCGAACGTCGCCTCCAGTGACGACCCTCGTTGACCAGTGTAAGGCAGTCGGCTGACGTCACGTTTTGGTGTCGCTTTTTTGCACACTTAGAACCACTTTAGAGGTGGTACAAAAAAAGCCCAACTCTAGTGGAAATGCAAAATAACCGTGCCGTACCGTACCGTTACTGTGGAAAAGAGGCATTATTGTCTCTATAGATCTTCAGGCTACTGCCACTTCCATGGTTGGAGTCTCTGTAGTTTATAGCCATTGGATATTGTATGTTTTTGTCCTTATAGCTTGCTTGTATTCCGCCAGTCAATTTTTCAGTTTCCATTTTGTATGGCCTACATAGAAACGGCCACTAGGACACTCAAGTTTATATACTACAAAGGTAGTAACCTAAATGTAATTGGTTATAGTTACGAATTACTTCTGCCAAAAAGTAATCAGTGGGGAATAGAGTACTGTGGGGCTGGTGAAAACGGGGCTATAGTATCATCCCATTCATAAATGTTGGAACTTCTATAAAAGCTCGCTTCAGATTTGTTTTATTTTTATTTTTATGAATGTTTAAGTAAAGGAAGGTTTCTCCCCCATCATCTGTACTTCTTAGCAGTTCAATGAAAACCTGCTAAGAAGTGCAGATGATGGGAGAGAAACCTTCCTTTGCTTTGACTAATCCTGGTACGACTGAGAGTTTACACAAAATTATCAGAATCAGAATCATTTATATTGCCAATTTATATTAAATTATGAATGTTTATTGAAAAGCTCTACTTCCAACTGATGTTAAATTCGTGAAAAAAAAAAAAAACATCCAAACAGAGTTGAGTTTCCAGAGCCAAAATGTCTGATTCACATTAGAGCAGACTCTTGTATTCTAAGATGCAAACTTTTCCCGACACAAAGGCCTGACATCGGCACACGCTGCAGATTGGCATAGTCCGTAACAATGCGCGTCTGCCTCGGGTCATGACGCAGACTTTAGTCCACGCGCTCCCAAGTCGTCCCATTGTGCCGCGACACACGCTTTGAATTGCAGCCTCTCCTTGTGCCCTCTGCCCCTCCTCCTTCTGCTTATTTTTGTGTAAACGGAGAGGGGTACGCGAAGGGAGGGCGACTCTGGATCGACCCCTTCTCCTTGCTCTCCCTCTCTCTCTCTCTCTCCTCGCCACAAAGACCCGGAGAAAGCTGCATCTTTTCTTCCCTCCATTCGCGCACTCTCTCCCGCACGAGACTGACGCGGTGAGAAGTCGCGAAGGAAAAAAGAAACAAATCAACAACGACCCAAGCTTGAAGAGAGTGCACTTAAAAAATCGTAAACGTTCTAGTTAGATTCACTTATTTATTTAATATTTATTGGGATTTTACGCGCGCCTTGGTCTGGACTAAGCTCATCACTAATGGATTCTATCTCAACAGTAGTTTTGAAGATATGCAACATTTGGAACCACCGTTTATAGCCAAAAGCGTCGAGAAATGACTGCAGAGAAACTATTTGTAAGAATTCAACGCGCAAGAATCAATCATAGACCGGACTTTGGAACCACTTGGAGACAGTGAAAGACGCACAATTCGGATGGATCGTCAAGTTTTTCTCTGACACATCCACATCCAGTTGATTTTCTGCCATTATTGCTCTCTCTACTTGATGCCAGAGGTATTGTTGTAAGACTTAACACGGGGGAAGATGATGGCAGCCAAAGCAGGTGTGTTTTGGTGCAAACTCCTCTTGGTTTTGCTGGTGTTGAGCTTAGAGGCGCACGGGAAGACGGTGAAATACAAAGTTTATGAGGAGCAGCGAGTGGGCACTGTGATCGCCCGGCTGAAGGAGGACGTCGCAGGGGTACTGGCCAAACTACCCGCGTCCACGACCTTCCGATTTCGTGCCATGCAACGGGGTGACACACAGCCCCTGTCTGTGCGCGAAGAGGACGGGGAGATCACCGTGGCGAGTAAGATCGACCGAGAGAAGCTGTGCGATAAGAATCTGAACTGCACCATTGAGTTCGACGTGGTGACGCTACCCACGGAGCATCTGCAGCTGTTCCACGTTCAGGTGGAGGTGCTGGACGTCAACGACAACTCGCCGCACTTCTCCCGGTCCATCGTCCCGGTGGAGATCTCCGAGAGCGCGGCGGTGGGTACGCGCGTCACGCTGGACGGAGCTGTGGACGCAGACGTGGGGGACAACGCGCTGCACACGTACGCCCTGCAGCCCAACAACTTCTTCAAGATCGAGGTGAGTGAAGAATCTAGACTCGGGAGTCAGGTCTAGAATAGGCGAGTACTTTTCATGGTAACGAAAAGATTTTTAGTCTGCCTCCTCGACCTGGCAACGGACAGAGCTGACGGTGGCTGAGTGGTTAGCGCTCTTGGAACAGTGGAGTTGCATGTTTATCCTCGTGTCTGCGAAGGGGTCTTCTGGGTGCTCCGATTTAAAATTCCACTAAACATACAATTGGTTATAAGATACATATTAGTCCATATGGGGAGCGGGACCAATGTTGATATATGTCCGAATCATCACTGTAAGACCCTGCTCCATCAGCAAAAATAAAAAACAAATACATTGCTAAAAGTGAGAAACCTCAGGGAGACCCACATTGAGAGAGGGCGGCGCTCCCACAGATTTAGGACTGAGCCTGTTGATCCAGGACCGAGGCTGTAGATCCAGGACTGAGGTTTTAGATCCAGGACTCAGGATGTAGATGCAGGAATGAGGCTGTAGATCCAGGACTGAGGCTGTAGAACACAGACTGAGACTGTGCAAAATTACATTTCTGATGAAATTTGATAGTGAGGTCGTGATTTTCGATTTAATCAGAAATGTAATTTTAGGGTCAAACAATGTTTTAGATTTGTGTTTGTTCTGCCAGAATATGCAAAGGGACGTCGCGAATCCCATCATTGTTACCTAAAGTCTCAGTAGCGTTGTCAAAAATAGTCTTGGATTGAGAGAGAAGGAAGAGGATAATAATAATAAATAGAACATGAGCCCTCACTGTGAGTGGCCTGTCCTCCTCCTGCATGATACTGTTTCTTAAAACAGAGAATATTCTGGGCTGTGGTTTTCATAATTGTTATTCATGGAGTTGTGTCTTGATATCTGATATTGCTTAAGGATTTGCATGACCAAAACAACTTTATCAAAGGGTTTTGTTGTTGTGTAGTTTTTAGTGGAAGGAGCACATACTAACTCTTCTCAAAGACGATGATGTTGTAGAAACGTGCTTACTTGGAACTCCCTCATGTTTTGACCATTCCCCATGTAAATACTCAGTCAAATCACCTGGGCTATGTTGTGAATGTGTGTGTGTATGTGTGTGTATTGGGTTTAAGTTAAGTCATGAGTCAAACACAAGGCCCGCTAAACTCATTTTAAATTAATATAGTTAATTTGAGCATTGACAATATGTTAATATGGAGCATGGTGTGTTATTCACTGAATAAAGCATGTATTCTAACATTTGAATCCTACATGTCATCCTTTCTCATTTTTATAATAGAAATCTAATCTAATTTCTATTTTCTACTGTGCCGTTGGTTGATTGTTGGCTGGCTCGATGTGTGTGTTTCTCTGTGTGTGTGTGTGTGTGTATAAAGCCAAAACATTTCCTGGACCTCTGCCTGATTTCCTGATTATAAGCTTTATTCCATTGGATACAAATTAGGTTTCTGCTTGTGTTCCATTGTCATTGATTCCACATGAGGTTCCATGTGAATCAGATACACTCTGGGCTAATCCATAATATCAGGGACTTCTGGCACACACATGTTCCCCCGCCCCTTCTATCTAAATGGTCTTTATCAAACCTGTAACACCGAGATGGATCCTTATACTATTACATCATGTTCATTCATACATGTTTTCTGTCGTTTTAAAACAAGATAGTACTACCACCAAGACGATCCTCTCTGGTGGTAGTACTAGGGAACTACAGGCTATGGCTGTTCATCCATATAATTCTGATTAAGAAAGTGATGTCACATTAAAAAAAACCAAATTAAATATTTGCACTAATATATTCCTTTGTTTTCTCGCTGTGAACAAACTGCACAGGGTCTCAGATATATTATTAGCAATTTCTCTGGTAACAACTGCCTGCCCAAAACGATAGAGGAGCAGACTGTATTTACCTCCCAATTCTATTACTGTGGCGACTTCAGTCAATATAGACAATTATTGATTTGTTGTTTGTTTTTATCTAAATAAATAGATTTGTTGTATTCCCAGACTTGGTAGGAATGACGACCTTGAAAAGTTTGCAGACTGCATCGCTCTGACTTGTGTTAGACTTTAAAAATCCAAAATACTGCCAAACTGGTGACGTAAACTTTCCTTTAATATCAACTATTTGTTGCATTTCCCAGAATGCCTTGCGGTTGATGCTCAGCCGTGATAGGTCGAGAAGCCTCTAGCTACTTCGTCCAAAATGCCTTGTACCTCTGGCTCGGCTTTTCTTCCTGTTTTTTTTTTTGACTTATTGAGCATCCTATTGACACCATTTTCTATTCATATTGATCACATGTCTATCGGAATATATATTGGCAAGGCAAGGCAAGTTTATTTATATAGCACAATTCATACACAAGGCAATTCAAAGTGCTGAACAAAACAAGAAAGCATTAAAATCATAAATAATCACAGAACATTAAAAAGAAAGATAAAAATATAAAATCCCTCAGTTGTATGCACAGTTAAACAGAACTGTCTTTAACCTGGTTTTAAACATTGTCAGAGAGGAGGCCTGTCTCACATCTTCAGGAAGACTGTTCTAGATTATATCAGCATGAATCTGAAAAGCAGCCTCCCCATGTTTAGTTCTGACTCTGGGCACTAACAGGAGTCCAGTCCCTGTGCTCCCTGTGCTCCCTGTTATTGTTATCGTTTTATCGCCCAGCCCTAACACTACATACTGATGTAAACCAGTGTTTCATTGTCTTTATTTTAATTGATTCTTGGGTGTTTGAAAAAGCCTGTATTATCCTGTACTCAAGGCTTCAGTGCTCAGAAAATGTCTATTTCACCTACCACCTATCTCCATACATTACTTGTATTGATAACGTATTGATGCAATGGTTGAAAGTTAATTTGAAGGAACTGGTTTAAAAAAAACAAATAGCCCTTTTTCTACCAGCATTACTCTACTCTATCATGATTGAGACTGTTTCCATAGGCTCTATTTAACCGGTACCAGATGCTTCTTTAGTCCAACTTGTCCCTGATTCTATCCAGGCCCGAGCTGGTACAAAAGTGTTCTAAGCCATGGTTTCCAAGGAATTGGTTTGTTGTGGGTAGGATGCTAGGATATGGCACCAGATACTAAATCATAATAGAAACAGCTGAGTAGAGTAGAGTAGAGTGGGCTGGTGGAAACATGGCTTATGTTGTGGTTTTCAATGGTGGAATATGTTGGCTAAGGAACCGCTGCAAAGAATGTCATGAGACTGGAGAGATTTGTAAAACTAATTTGGAGGTAGAGCTCTGTCCATTGGGAAAGTTTAACAATATGGCATTTAGTGTATGGAATATTGATTAGTGCACTTCTTTGTGACAATCACAGACTAACGTTCTCATCCTTCTTCAGGTGAGGACTCGTACGGATGGGGCCAAGTACGCCGAGCTGGTAGTGATGCGTGAGCTGGACCGGGAGTTGCAGCCCACATACCAGCTCCTTCTCACCGCCTCTGACAACGGCGTCCCCCCCAAGTCGGGCTCCACACTCCTCAAGATCACCATCTCCGACTCCAACGATAACAGCCCTGTCTTTGACGAACAAGCCTATGTCATCAACCTCTCGGAGAATTCCCCCCTCGGCACGCTCATCATTGACCTGAATGCTACAGACCCAGATGAAGGCGCCAACGGCAAAATCGTCTATTCGTTCAGTGGACATGTCTCGCCCAAGATTCTGGAGACATTCAAGATCAACCCTGAGAGTGGACACATCACTCTGGTCAAGAAGGTGGACTACGAAACTACGGCGTCGTACGAGCTGGATGTGCAAGCTCAAGACATGGGGCCCAACGCCATCCCGGGGCTGTGCAAGATTGTGGTGAAACTGGCGGACGTCAACGACAACAAACCAGAGATCAACATCAATTTGATGACTCCAGGGAAGGAAGAGGTGGCATACATTTCCGAAGGTGCTCCTGTAGACACGTTCATTGCGCTGGTTAGGGTGGACGATGGTGACGCAGGGTTGAACGGGGAGGTGGTGTGCCGGCTTCATGGCCATGGGCACTTCCGACTGCAGAAGACTTACGAGAAGAACTACATGATCCTCACCAACGTGTCTCTGGACCGGGAGAAGAGGTCTGAGTACAGCCTGACAGTCATCGCTGAGGACAAGGGATCGCCGAGTCTGTCCACCGTCAAACACTTTACTGTGCAGGTAATAATGCATTGGTTATATATAGTTTTTTAACATTCAAAGATGCTTCACATGTCATTATTCACTCACTCCCTAGACAGTGGTGCAAAATTACTACTGTAGCCACAGCTGCCCTGGGACGCACTGACAGAAGCAAGGCAACCACTATGTGCCACTGGCCCCTCAGACCCCCACCAACTATTAACACACACACCAGAATCATGTGGGTGAAGTGTCTTACCAGTATGGCATCTTGCTTTAACCCGCAAGTGGCTCCACGAAGGGTGGTGATTTTGACATATGGGCAACATTACAACTTTAAACTTGCGTTATTTTTTCTCTAGTTACACACTTATTGTTGTATTCTGATTTCAAATATCATGATTCTTTTTAAACTTAATAATCTCAACGTCCTGTCCCCCACTTCTACCCATAGGTCTTGGACGAAAATGATAACCCACCGCGTTTCGAAAAGAACCGCTACGAAGTGTTCAAGTCTGAAAACAACTCCCCCGGGGCCTTCCTCATGACCGTAGTGGCTTCAGACGCCGACCTGGGCACCAACGGGCAGGTGACGTACAGCGTGATTGACACTCTGGTCCAGGGAAGTCCCATCTCCACCTACGTCACTGTGGACCCTTCCAATGGAGCCGTGTATGCCCTGCGCAGCTTCGACCACGAGGACGTCAGCCGCATTGCCTTCACGGTACAGGCGCGCGATGGAGGGAACCCACCACTATCCACCAACTCCACCGTGCTGCTCACCGTGTTGGATGAGAATGACAACGCCCCAGTCATCCTGACTCCTGCCCTCCGCAACCACACGGCTGAGCTGCCCGTGTGGAGGTATGCCTCCCCCGGACAGCTGGTCACGGCGATGAAGGTGAGGAGGCCCAAACATACAGACCATTCCACTGATTAGGGCTTCAAACATTCTCTCCTGCCTGTAGTTTCAAATTCTATTGCATATTCCTTGTTTACCTGTTGGTTGTAGGTATCTGTAAGATATTCACACTCTACTTTTTAATCTTCTCAAAGGCTAAAGATATCAGAAGATCAGAACATCAATTGGTGCATAGCATAGCATCACAACAGTAGAACAAGCTGAAAAATCTAACTTTATTTTTGTATAAGATATAGTCACAGGCATTTTGCATGTTCCTTACTTGTTCCTTTGAATCAGAAATTGAATCTGCTTGTGCCTAACTAGTTGCCTCATAAATATCTCAAGTAGGTGTCCAAATCTTCAAAAGCCCAAAGAAAACCCCACCAGAACTAGATATATCAATTGCATAGACATCTCTGATTACATCTTTTATAACATTATTTTGAGAGGCATCTCAACTCATTTTATCAAACTTGATCCTCTTCAGACAGCAATAACCAATGTTCCATTCCTAAAGGTGAGCGACCGGGATGCTGGCGCCAATGGGGAACTGAGCTGCTCTATTGTGTCCGGTAACGAGGAGGGGTTGTTTGTAATGGACCCCCGCCGCTGTGAGCTGCGCACCAACGCCAGTCTGGAGCAGGTGAACAGGGACGTGGTGGAAATCCGGGTGGAAGTCCAGGACAGAGGCACCGTACGGCTGACCACTGGGGCTGTATTCAGGCTAGGATTACAGGAAACCATGGAGGTCCTGGCTCCGCTATACCCGTCGGGCTCAGGCCAGGCCACTCTGGACCTGTCCCTCATTGTCATCATCTCCCTGGGGGCCGTGTGCGCTCTGCTCTTGGTGGTCATGGTCATGTTTGCCACGGCCCGTTGCAGCCGCGATAAGAAAGACCCGCGCCGCAACTACAACTGCCGCACGGCCGAGACCAGCTACCAGAACCGGCCCAAGAAGCCTTCGCGGCAGATCCACAAGACCGACATCACCCTGGTGCCCACGGTGAACGGGTCGCTCCCCGTCAGAGCTCATCCGCGCTCACCATCCGCCTCACCCGCACCCGACCGTGGCACCCTGGCCAGCCGGCAGAGCCATCACAGCCGCCAGTCACTCAACAGCCTCGTCACAATCTCATCCAACCACGTGCCTGAGAACTTTGCACTGGAGCTGGCCCACGCTACACCCCCAGTGGAGGTAAAGCCCATTCACTTACTTTGGTATGCATGCTCGAATGAAGATTTAAATGCCTGGTGATATTTTAGGATTATTTCGGTTGTAATTTTGTAGTAGCTGTTGTATTAGACATAAAAAATTTCAGACTTGAGATTAATAAACTGTATACTAAATATATAAACAACGAGTTTGAAAAGGGGTTGGACGAGGTAGTCTTACTCGTATATCACACACACATACCGTAGCATAATCACAAGCAAATCACAACAATGTATAGATAGTAGTAATTGTTTGTGTTATTTTTTTGTAATATTTTTTTGTTTGTTTTGAGTTGTCATCCCACCACCACCCCTCCCCACATTGTCCTGTTTGTGCGTGAGTGTAAGTGTGTGTCGTTCCATTCATCCCCTCCTCATTTTCTCCCTTTATTTTTTGTCCCTTTGTTCGTGTGTTGGTGTTTCTGGACTGTAGCAAGTCTCACAGCTTCTGTCCATGCTCCATCAGGGCCAGTACCAGCCTCGGCCGAGTTTCCGCGGCAACAAGTACACACGCAGCTACAGGTGAGGATTACAGTATACACACATAGCTCAACCCAGTAACCAGTGTTCTTATCGGTCATATTTAAAGAATATGCAGAGACCTCTCTCATTTATTGCTCTAAAAACAACTCACTATAACAAAAAAAAATTGAATTAGCATCTATACAGGCTTTAAAACGCCTCTCCATACACTATAATCACTTTATAAAAATCATATCTCTCTCTAGTCTCTTTCGCTGGTTGCAGTCTGGTCTCTCCTGGTTTCTCTCTGTTCTCTCTCTCTGGTCTTTCTCTCTTCTTCCTGTAGCCTCTGAAGCTATATTTTACAGTGTATGTACGCCTTTAGAAAGCTGCAGCAATGCTCTCTAAAGCTGTACATACCACTGTAAAATATAGCTATACATCAGCACTTTAGCAGTCGAGAGTTCAGGTGGTTAGAAAAGAGTATAAAGTGGGTGGTGACGGCTTTTACACCCTTAAAACATAAGGCTGCTACTTCAAGGATTTCAATTATTGTGGGTTATTTTAAAAAAACATGAACCAGCACCCACCATTCAGTTATTGGGTCATTATGTACTGCAACATTTCTCAAACTGCATGTATATAACACTGAAAGACTTACACCGGGGCTATAATAAGACAAAGCAAGTTAGTAAACAGAATTATGGTGAGTCTGCACCACATCTGCTTCTCAAAAAAACTCTGTCTTAGCCATGCAGGGCTACAATTGAAATTTAAATATCCAAAACGGGGAATATATACACTGAATGAGTGCTACCACAGGACAAAACCAAGTCTAAATCAGGGTTGAAACTTGCACAGATCCATTCCTCCATTCCAGCGCACGCCCCACAGTTTGAGACGCTGTGCAGAGCAAACACTGTGTCTGAGTTGTCCCCATATTTGCATAATCGTATGTAAAACCCTGCCGCTCCGCTCTGCTCCGCTCTGATAAGACGTGTGTGTGTGCGTGTGTGCGCATGTGTGTGAATGCGTGTGTGCTCAGATATGCGCTGAACGAGATGGATAAGTTCAGCCTGAAGGACAGCGGTCGTGGAGACAGCGAGGCGGGGGACAGCGACTATGAGCCCGGCAGGGAGTCACCCATGGAGAGGCTGCTGGGCGAGGGGTTTGGAGATACCTTCCACGGCCACGACGGACCACACCGGCCCCATGCAGGTATGAGTCACCACCCTTGAGCTTGGGCCACAGCAAAGCCATCCAATGGTCAAGCGTCCGTTCTGCAACAGTCCAAGCACAGAGCTGCCAGAGGTCACGCAAGGGGACTTCTTCTACAGTATCCCAGCAATCAGGGGGGGTTTCTGTTTCTTTGAGTTGCTTGTTCAAATGGTAACTTTTCTATTAAATGTTTTTGTATACAGCTCCAAACACAAGAGTCATTTTGGAGGAATTTACAAAGTTACCTATTTGTTACAGATTAGAGAATCAAACAGTTTGAACCCAAGACATACAATAATATAAATATATATTGCTAATAGCTAATACTATAAAGATATGGCTCCTAGAGACACTGACTCTACCTGCTGGGGAGGCTCAGGTCTTTTGGATGACAGGAGCCACTCCTAAAGACCTCCTAAAAACAGTGGGGAAAAAGTGATAAACCTTGGGGAGGCCCATATTGAGAGAGGGAGTGAATGAATAATGTCATGGAAAGCATTTTTGAGTGTCCAAAAAATATCATTATTTTTATTATTATGATAACACAGAACATTCTGTGAGTATAAGGGAGAATCTTTGCTGAATTCTCCTGATAGTAGGGTGGGTTAAGCTAAAAGCAGCTTCAGATCTGGATTTGTGTTGTAGCATGGTTCAAAAAGTATGTCTGACTGTAGATAGATGGATAGATAGATATATACTTTATTGATCTCGAAGGAATTTGTGCACTGGTCCCTTGCTCACAATCATACAAACATACATACATAGGTTAGAGTTAAAAGACTGAAAAGGACTGAAAGCTATCAACACAGTTACTACATCTAAATCTGCCAGTTGTGCCTGAATTTGAGAGTCTGGTGCCCATCCCTTTTCCCATCAGCCCCTCTCTCAGCACAGACACAAAGAAACATGCCTCTTACATGCGCCTGTTTGTCTCCAGGCAGACTTGTGTGTGTGCGCTCTAGACTCCGATCGGGGATTGGCTGCGCGGACCACGCAGGTGTCCAGCTGCAGTGTTTGGTGCCGTCACTCGTCACCAAACCGCTTTCCAATTACCTCCTTGGATTCCTCCCGCTCGTTAGGCTCTGCTCTCCCCTACCTTTTTAGATGTCACTCTCCCAATCCCGCGCTCCTCTGGCGGACGCAAAAAGAGCCCGTTAATTGCCATGTGACAAGCTGTTGCCGCGGCGACGGCACTCCAGATTGCGCGCTTGATTAAAGCCCGGAGAGCGTAATTACATCTCTCGCTCACCTTTCTTCTGCGCGCTGTCTCTGCCCTGTCATTATGCACCGTGGTGGGCCTTCTGTCCAGGGGGCGGGGCTTCTGTCACCTGTCTCCATGTCTGTCTGGCACTCTCTATGGTGGGACTGGCGCCGCATGTTGAGAATGCTAAGACTGGCATTGAAGAGGACATACTTCTGTAGGACTGAAAGCTACAGTATGTGCCTTCATCAACAGTCCTGGAACAAAAAAAAGTTATTTTTTGGACAGGTTCTTTACAACTGTACGCTTGTTAGACTGCTCCATGTTAGATTTAAAACAGAAGGGATTTTTTCCACTTTTTTTGTTACAATAATACAACAATTTTGATGGTGGTCCTCTCTTTTTCACTTTTCTTTCGGAAAATGCTGATATAAGGATTTGAGAGAGGACAAAAAACATGTGAGAACAAAATAGATTTGTTGTGGTTTGAAAGTTAGGCACCCCAGCTTTAGGGCTAATGAATGCTTCCATTTTCATGTTGACAATTTCTGTGGTTAGCAACTACCTAAAAACCAATAAGCAAGTGTGTGATTGGCTATAGAAGGAACAGCTTGTCCTGGTTAGAGCCAGGGCCATGCAGGTACTAAAAAAGAACCTGATACCAATTAAACGGGGCCCATGAAAATGCTTCTAATCAGGGTAAAGTAGAGTAGTGCAGTATAGAGTAGGGCCAAGTGGGGTTGGTGGAAACAGGGCTTTAGAGCTGGTGTGTCTGTATGGTGAGGACCCTGCCCCGTATGTGCACATACTGAAAGAGTTCCTCTACTGCAGATCAAACTTTCTCCTCCTGTGTCTCTGGAGGAAAGGCCTTTGATGATGTTACCGTCCTGTCAGATTAGATTCAAACTCCACCAATTTGACACCAGGGATTATGGCGAGATGGAGATAGTTCCATGCACAGCTACAGTGAGGCACGCTCACAAAGAGAGTGTTGACATGTCCCGCTTCAGCACAAATCGAGAGCCTTAAATCTTTTATTTTGGGGCTTTTATCAGGCTGCCCCCGCACCGTGCTTCATCTGCGCTCACATGTATTATAAATGCTGCTTTCATGTTAATGAGCTCATAATGAAGTCCCACCACACGGCCCAGTGCAGCCGCTCTAATGAACACTTTAAGATGGCATATTTGATTTGGCTAATTTATTCTTCAGAGAATTTCTATTTGAAGGTTTAATATTGAAAAGAGTGACTTGAAAGAGAAGGAAATAAGAGCTTTTAGGGTCTGGCTCCTCTGCCTGTGTGTTCAGAACTTTTATCTGGCCTACCATGGTTAGATTACAAAAAATCTACTTTTTTTGCTGCAATCTTTTTCCCTTGTATAAAGAGTTGTTTTTGTTGCACTCATTCAAAACACACTTTCAAATCTGTGCCATTGAAGCTGTGGAGATATTTTTAAACTCATTTACTGTCTCCAAATACATTTCTTCAGACCTCATTTGTAACATGTGAGCTCACATATACGTGATAAATTGACTCTTCTCAGGTTTTGAACGTATTTTGCTTCCCCTGGTCTTTACATGCACAGCTCACAGTTCATGCCGCACACATCTTTTATAGTGTTCCCCAACCTCTTTGAGCGGTGACACACCTTTGTCATTGAAAACCATCACATAACACTCCACCAACTGAAACTGATTTACACATGAAATTCTGAAGCCTTTATTCACATGTATTTCTCCTTAAAGTGAATAAAAAAAAATCAAAAAAGCACAAACAAGTCTTTCAATTATTCTACATAATTTTTTTCCCCAAGTCAACAAAATTTATTTTCATATAGCCCTAAATCTCAGAGGATTTTACAGTTGTTTATTCGTCAACACAGATCAGAGAATCCAACAGTACAAACCCAGGAATGACGAAATACACACAAACACTGGACCAATTTTCTAATTTTTTGATTCAGGTGATGTTGCATAATTTTGGCATACCAAACAACATCAAGGAGCTCTAATGTGCCCTGGCCCACAGGTTGAAAACCTGTATTTTATAGTCTCTAACACCTAAGACGCCATCGCTCCCCTGGCTCCTCTGACCATCACCACACGCCCACTGTTTGTAGTCTCTTCCTTCTCTCATTTCCTTTTCTAAGTCTTTCATACATGGATGATTCAACAGCATTTAAGCATTAAGGCAAACACTATGGGGACGTCACACTCAGTCCACTACTAAAATACGCTCTATGAATGAGATGTAGGTGTAAAACAATATTATCACTATAGAGCAGTTTGAGTATGTGGCCGCGTTTTGACCGTCAGACAGCTTTCAATTTGTACCAACATAATAATCTCAAGTGTTAAATTTCAAATAAAGGATCAAAATTATATAAGAATGACATAAAATGATGTAATGATGAGTTCAAAGTGATCGTCCACTGAGTGTGTGCCATCTACTTCACAGGCATGAGGCTGTGCACAGAGGAGTGCAGGGTCCTGGGACACTCGGACCAGTGCTGGATGCCCCCCCTGGCCTCACCCTCCCCCTCCTCGTCCTCCGACTACAGGAGCAACCTCTACATCCCCGGAGAGGAGGCTCGGCAACCCACAGACCTACCCCGTGAGAGCGCTCCTGTGCCCTGCACCGACCGCAACCAAAGCTTCTCAACGTTTGGCAAGGAGCTGAGCGGAGAGGAGAGGGAGGCGGAGGTAGGCACGCCTCTGCGGGACCAGGACGTGTGCGGGACGTCATCGCTGCTGTCAGAGATGAGCAGCGTGTTCCAGAGGCTGCTGCCCGCCGGCCTGGACACATACACGCAGGTAAACGAGGGTCAGCGGAGCAGCAGCCTGAGCGGGATGGGGGTCCCTCTCAGCGGCTCTCTGGACCGCAGAAGAGGCCACCTGCCGGGTAAGGCCAGCCCTTCTGTGCACCAGCAGGGCGTAGCAGCCTGGGCAGCGAACACACACTTCCAGAACCCCAGTATGGGTCACCCTCATCCCGGGGCCTACCACACCCTCAAGCCCAGCACCAAACTGAGCCCCCAGCCCAGCTCTAGCTCCACCCCTCTGCTTACAGCAAGCCCTGCAACGCCTGCCCCACTGCCGACGCCCATGGCCAAGTGGCTGCCGGCCATGGAGGAGATCCCAGAGAACCACGAGGAGGACGAGTGTGAGTGTGTGCTTGCGCCCCTGCAGGCCAAGCGCTGCGACAGCAGCAGCAGCCGACACACGCTGGTGGATGCCAGTGAGCTGGTGGCTGAGATCAACAAACTCTTACAGGACGTGAGGCAGAGCTAGCCCTGTCCACTTCAGAGGAGGACATGCCCACTGCAGAGCTAGCCCCACCCAAAACAGAGCTGGACACACCCACTGCAGAGCTTGACATGCCCACATGTGTGAAAGACACACCCATAGGTGTGATAGACACGCCCACAAGTGGGATAGACATGCCCTCAGGTGTGATGGACACACCCACTGTTGGGCAAGCCACATAGAGCTACGTGTGGAAGTCAGAGGGACTACAAAGAGAGAGCATCGATCGATGGAATTTGTGGCGGCCATCTTGCATTTTAAGCAGAGCAAAGGTCTCATTTTTTATGCTCTCTCTGATCTTGTACTTCATATTGGCTCTATAGCCCTGTGTCCTCTAGCCCTAATTGGTCCAACTCTACCTGGTTGTGTTTCTACTAGTATTGCGTACCGTTCTGATTGCCTCATCCGACCCAGAAATTGATTAAGGGGAAGAAAATAGATGGATGGATGGTATTGGTTACAAAGGACTGGTGGAAACACTTCTAATTGTGTAGAGTTGAGTAGAATAAGGCCGGTGGAACGGGGTTGATATCTGAGGAGAAGACATTTATTTGGTCATGTTCGTCTCCGTTGGTCATGTCTCAAGTTCATCAACCTTCAAACTGTCTTTGTGATGTATGTGCACTGCATTCACGTGCCCAGGGCTCGTTATTGTGTTAGATAATCACTAGTATTTATATTGTTTATTTGTTTTGAATGTTATTTATAAGTTATTTATTAATTCCTCTGTTCATATCTATTTTATTAAATAGCATAGACAATGAATCTGAATGTGTTTATAAGTGAACCAAACCACTCAGAGACATGTGTTTTCGTTATTTTGATGCGTCAGACTCGAGCTGGCTTTTTACTTTTGCTTTGGGGGGGGCACGTGAATGCAGAGTCACAGCTCAGGATATCACCATTTCCAAGGAAAACACACATTCTCTATCATGTCTATTACTGAACTTGTTCCTCTACAACACTGCAAAGTAATGACAAAACTTTAGTAATAACTACACATAATTCAACTGTAATTTTCAGTTGTGAATTTCTCCAGTCAACTAATGTTTATAAAATTGTGCCATATTTGAGAACACCTAAATCTGGTGGCAAATAAGTCCCTGTCAGTGCCACTAGATGAGAGTGTTGCTCATTTGCTCAATCCTAGAGTTCATATTTCATAACTGTCAATGTCAATTACAGTGATAGTTTTTTTTTTTTTTTTTACAGTGTGCTTATTTAAAGGTTCTCTCTCTCTCTAGTTTCTCTGGTCTCTCTCTCTCTAGTCTCTCTGGTCTCTGTCTCGAGTCTCTCTGGTTTCTTTCTGGTCTCTCTGGTCTTTCTAGTCTCTCTCTGATCTCTCTCTCTGGTCTCTGCTTTTCTCAGTGATTAGTTTAGAGTTTTTCTGTATCCCTCAGTCCTGCTCTTTTCCTTTTATACATGAAATGCAAAAATATGAGATACATGTATTTTCACTGTTTTGAAATGTATCAATGGAACCAGTTTACTTATAATAAGTAAATTATGCAGTTTCACAAACACATGATTGTACCTAAAATCATACTAAAGCTGCTTGTTCTATTTGCAAATAGTATTATAACAGTCAAAATGTACTTAAAGCCATGTATCCACAAGTCTACTTTATTCTACTTACTATCTTGTTGTGTTTCCATTATGCTCTAGTATCTTCCCACAAATATATCAATATCCGGGGAAATACCTTGGTAATCATGGCTTCTAGCAGCAGTGACCAATCACTGTGAGTTAGACCACTTTAGTATCAACTTGGCCTGGATAGAATCAGAACCAAGCAAGTACAATATTTATTAAACAGGGCCAGTGGAAACGCATCCCAATGAGATGTGAAGAGAGTGAAGTCAGGCCATGCAGAGCTGGTGGAAATAGGGCTTCAGATGAACATTTCAAGTAACATTCTTGTCACTTTCTTGCAGTGTATGTGACTTTTTTTAAAACAAAAAACGTATAAATATAAACACACACAGTAGTAGATCCAATGGAAATGAGTGTTTTTTTCTTCTGAAATGGTCAAAACGATAATGTTTTCTTTCTGAAAAGCGGGCTGCGCGATGCAATACTGTACGTATAGGCAGCACACAAACTCTCAAATGTGACTTGCAATAGTCGTTAAAGTTGCATTTCCAATGTAATGTGTTTTGTAAATGCTAATATCCAAAAAAATGTTTGTAATTGTTGTTTTTGGTACACAATGTACACTCTGTGACTGTATTTATCTTTGTATTTTAAAAATACATTTGTAAACTTATATTTATAAAGTGTAATCAGAGTCTATTTTTCTACGGGAGCATGTTGCGTGAGCCTAGTGAACATGCAAGGACTGTGGCTGTATTCAGTGATTTGTATTGTCCTTTTTGTATCTGTCACTATGGTAACCTGCATATACACTTGTGTTTGTGCTTCAGTGCGGCCCGCGGACCGTGCACTAATAAAATGTTGACTATATGCTCATGACTTGAAATCAATGAATTTACTACTTCTGAAAATGTTATTAAAGGTATATAGGAGGTTTTTTTTCCAGGTGGATAATCGAGACTATTGGTTATTCTGGTGATATGCGACATACGTACTGGTCAACTCTAAGAGTGTTTTTGGGAGATTCTTTCACTTGATGGCCTGTGCTGAAAGCTCAAGATGGGCTTCCCATTGATGCTTCAGTCGCAAAGTTTGGTATTCTAATTGGATCACTTTCCATTTCTGGAATCGATTCCATTCGATTCCAGATAAAGATGTCTATAATGTCTGACATAATGGAAAAAGTGATATACTTTTTGTATAATCAGCTTGTGTGAGCGATACCTACAATGACTTGTAAACAGAGCATGCATGTCTGTTGCACATATTTTAGTAGGCGTTCCCTCTTGGGAGCAGGTAGAGTGTCACATGTGCATTTTTTCATAAAATTCATACAAATCTTCCTATATACCTTTAAACAACACGTATAATGAAATAAAAAAACGTAGGTCCAAGCCAGGTACAAATGCTCCATGGGTGCTGATCGAAGAAGCCGTGCAGGGGTCCCATCATCAGGAGAGAGAGACCAGAGAGGAGGACGAGAGTGAGAGATCAGTGAGAGAGACCAGAATGAAACACCAAAGATAGACCAGAGAGAGAGACCAGTTTGTGTTCACATATTTTTATTTTATTCTGCTGTAATTATAGTTCTGTAAATCTGTGTTGATCCAAAGCCGGTTAATCAATGACTAGAAAGAGTTGACAACTAATCAATTATTGGGTTTAACTTGTTATGTGAAGATATGCAGTTGATTATAAACTAAGAATGTAATTTGTATATTTGTGTAATGAGTTGAAAAATAAATAGAGTGGTCCCTGGTTACCCCAGGGTTACTTTTAAAAAAAGTAAGCAAAATCCACAAAGTAACAGCTCTATGTATGAAAATATTTGATTGTGTAACAGTAATCTTGCTTGAGTACTATATTTATCATCTTATTGGAAAGGACATTAAAAGAGTGAGGATATAATCCTTCATTTATTGCAGCAATAGTTGAATGTTATTGGTTATTTTAACTATACAGAAATGTAATCTTCTTGCTTTTTAGAAATTATGGCCATGAAGCCTCTCTCTCATAATCATGCCCAACCCGTTACTATATCGTGCCCAATGCACGCGTTATAGAGTGGAGCGTGATTGCCACCTGCTGGCCTGAGGTGTCACTGCAACACAGGACAGCAGATGAAGCAGAGCGGGGAGATAGCGCCCTCTGCAAGAGACATACGAGTACTGCAGCAGCTGACACAGAGAGGCTTCCTTATTTTAAACACTTTGTTCATTCAAGACGTTTTTCCCAACATAAAATCTTGTAAAAAATATATTTATTTTGACCACCTCAGACCACAATATGCTTCCTTCATCTTATTAGAAAACATGTTATCTTGAGCCACTAAAAAAAGAATAATGTGTGTGTGAGTATATTATATATATATATATATATATATATATATATATATATATATATATATATATATATATATATAATTATAGCCTTACATAGTGCTGCTACTTCAAGGACTTTACTTTTTGCAGGTTATTTTAAGAACATAACTTATTTAAATGATGGTCTGGAACATTTCACTTGGTGGTTTTGATGGTAAATTGCTAAGAATAAATAGAGGAAAGGGATCTGCAAGGATCTAAATTGGTTTATTACGGCCCGGTGGGTGGATTTGCTGATGGTTTTGAAGGGACTTGTAGCAGCTGTACTCCAAACATCAAACCCTTGCTGGGCTCTGGGCAGTGTGCAGCCACTGGTGGAGGTGATTCTTGGCTGACAGAGGCTACTCCACCTCTGCTGCTGTGACCTAAAGGGCTGTTGCTGATTATTACTATTATTATGTTTTTAGAATGATCAATTTTATTTTTTGTTTTTTCTGCTACTGGACACCTGAATTTCTCCTATGGGGATCAATAAAGTATCTATCTAAATTAACCACTCAGATTGGCTTCTGTGTCAGCACCGGCTGATTTCAACCTGTTGTGATTTGATTTTGAGCATCTCCTCATTCATGAATTTGTTCCTCCATTGAGTCTAACGTAGCTTTGTTTTAATAATGCATTGGTTGCACTTTTCTGGACACTCAAAGACGCTTTACATGTCATTATTATTTCACTCCAAACACGGTGGTGATAAACTACTACTGTAGCCAAAGTTGCCCTGGGGTACACTGACAGAAGCGAGTCAACCAGTATGTGCCATCGGCCCCTCCGAGCACCACCAACCATTCACACACAGTGTCTTGCCTAAGGACACTACAGAAGTTTAGCACTTTACAGCCGCAGCCGCCCCACTGTGTCTTGCCAAGGACACAACAACAGCAGACAGTGGGAGTTGATGGTGAAGGTCGGGCTCGAACCCACAACCCTCTGGCCCAAAGGCCAACGCTCTACCAACTGAGCTACTGTCACCCTGTCTGGGTGTTGGGCTGCATTAAGTTATATATTTTCCAT